CCCACAAACCTCCTTCATCTCTCCCCTGAACAGCTTGCCCCCACTCAGACCCTCTGTCTAATAACCAGGTAGCGAGAAATGACTTTCCCCCTGACAAGCGCATGAAATCATTTACTCACGACTGCTATCACGTGACCACCCAGTGCTTTCCGTGACTGGCCGGCTCCAATTTAGCAGATTAAAATTGTGGAATCACACCATGGACACCCTACCAATCTCCGAGCACGGACTCGGGGAGAAAGACAGAGAGCGAGGGGGAAAAATCAATTCCCTTGTTTCAGAAAAGAAACGAAAAATATGAAGCCGCATTTTCGTGAATTTTCGGCCCTTCGGATGGTCGGAGTTGCCGTCCATTTCGCACGTACGCTTATTTCCGGAGAAAGAGAGAGGCAAACGATTTTAATACCGGCGTCTCTACATTGTAATATAATCGGGTCAGAAATATTGCGCGCATTTGATGGGGCTTGAAAGGAGAAACGAAGAGAGACGGGCATGTTTTTCACGAACGAGAAACAGGGGAGGGAGGGAAAAAATGATAGAAAATCTCGTCGATTTAGTAATAGAAATAATTATGAAGAAATAACAGGCGATACATTATTGGAGATGATTGAAAATGCCGCTTAAAGATAATGGCTTTTTGATTGCATCCATTTGAATGAGGGCTGGCCATCTCCCGAAATTGAATTTGGCACGACTGAAAAACGGCATAGCAATGGAAACGGATTTTGTTTGATATTTTTTCCTTTGGCATAGATTCGTTTAATTTCTGGACTGAATATTATTTCCCTAACGGAAATTTGAACTGTTGGCGAATGTAAAATTGATTCAGCGATCTATTAATTTGATCATGCATCATACGGGAGATTTCTTTTTCCTTCTTGTCGAACTGATAGAACAGAAAACGATTAGATTTTGTGGAGTGCTTGGAGAATTTTTGTTATTATTATTATTATTCCTTTCTTCACCGGATTTTGTCGTGTAGAAATTCAGAGATGATGGAAATGAGGCAGGGGCTGAGCGGTTATGGGAGAAGCTGTAAGAATGCGGAAATTATAATGGTGGGATACTTTCCTTGGAAGTGTGTGTGTTGGGGAGGGGGGGGGAGGTGATACTTTTTGTGCGTTTCGGCATATGGCTTTGGTACATGCATCTTTGTAAGAAGTCGCAATGCATGAAATTGAAAAAAACGTGCAGTCTGCAATGCAAATGCTTTAGGGATAATAATCATGCGTTTATATGGTGCCAGTTACTTTATTTAATTTCAGAGTAGATTTTTTTTCGCCTGCCTACTGCATTCGTATCGCATTTGCAGTCAAAGACGATTCTGATTGTACAGTTTTAATATCGGCGATAATTGCTTCATGATATGGGATTTTCTGTGCTTGTTTGGGATTTGAGAGGGAGGAGGGGGTACTTCTTTTTTTTCTTTGTCTCTACATAGTTTTGTTCGATATATTTTGTTTTGGTTGTTGTTGCTTTTTACTTTTTACTTTTTGTTGGGGTGGGGGAGGGAGGGGGAGGGGTTAGGTCATGAGATGATGCAGTCTTTAACGCATCCACCATTACCATTTTCAACAAATCGTGCTACTTTTTTTTTCATGTGTTTGAGGAAACAGAAAAACTTCGACACTATAACGGACACAGTGCATGATGAGAGATAAGACATGAGTTAACAGTGATGCTTTCCAACCACCAACAGCTCACTCGTTGCACAGAGAGATGGAGAGAGAGAGAGAGAGAGAGAGAGAGAAAGAGAGAGAGAGAGAGAGAGAGAGAGAGAGAGAGAGAGAGAGAGAGAGAGAGATTAATTTGGCACTTATTGAAAGACAAGTCACGATTTCTCTCAGAAAAAGTCTTGGAAGACGCAAAGCAAACATGGAAAGAAAGTAAGAAAAAGAGAATGAATAAAAGAATGAATGAATTATATACAAGCAGATAGACAGAAAAGACAAGAAAGAAACAAAGAAAGAAACAAAGAAAGAAAGAAAGAAAGAAAGAAAGAAAGAAAGAAAGAAAGAAAGAACGAACGAAAGAAAGAACTAAAGATAGAAAGAAAATCAGAAAAAGAGAGACAAAAAGAAAGACAGAAAGAAATAAAGACAGAAGAAAAGGACAGAAAAAAGAAAGACTGAGAAAAGAAATAAATAAATAAATTATAAAAGACAAGAGCGAAATGGAAGAGAGAGGAGAAAAAAGAAAAAAAAAACATTTGGAAAACTGTAACAAATGTGAAAGTCTGACAAAGAAATGAAAAGTTGTGTAATAATTTACAGCACAGGGGAAATAACTGCAAGAAACAAAACAATAATAATAATTAGAAAAAGAAGAGAAAAAATAAATAATAAAGGAAAAAAAATATAAATTGAAACGCCACTGAGATTCTAATTAACTAGCCATCACATGGATATTTAATGGCACGGCTTTCTGTAGCATCTCTGTTTCGATGACTGAACTAGGAGAAAGAAACCGATGAACAGACAGACAAACAGATGCATTGACAAACAGATACAGAGAGAGAGAGAGAGAGAGAGAGAGAGAGAGAGAGAGAGAGAGAGAGAGAGAGAGAGAGAGAGG